TGTATTTTTAAGAATATCCTGATCCATACCTTACCCTCGTTCCCATATTTCCATATACAATAAACCTGATGACTGGTGCACATTTTTTGTACATTCCGAGCAAAGAACCACACCTGAGATCAGATGTTCCTGGGACTTTATTTCCAAATAAGTGGACTTAAGACATTTATAATGTAGTTATTCTTTACATAACGACCAATAGTCCTTTAAATGTGTTTAGTCTCATTATCAGTAATTCCCTTCAGCCAGTTTAATAACTTAAATAATACAATTATATATAATTTAGCAAGTACAATTTTGCAATGCAGTCAATTCAGTAAAGCTTGGTAAAGGCAGTGATTGGATAAATAAGGAACAGCAGCTTGCTGAAGAGTTTATTGCTATGCTATCACCTCTAGTAAATAAATTATGTTTGTTAGATTCTCAACAATGCTGCCCCCTTCTCTCCTGGTGTGCATGCTGATGTGCAGGTGATTACAGGAAAAATTCAGATTGATTTAGTATTTAAAATTGATGTATTGAATGCATATCTGTATTTAACAGGCATCCTTAAAGGAGAACTATGAGGTTTGTGCCTTTCACTCACCTCATAGTTCTGCCGACCTGTGACAATGAGACTGTCACAGGTCGGCTCAGTAGATTGGGAGGTGAGCGAACACATACCGACGTTCGCTCACCTCTCGATCCTGTCACAGCTCTCTGCCGTGACAGGGGAGGGGCTGGATTCCCCCTCCCCGCTCCGATCCATCAGCGCTGACTGGTGGAACGGACGGGGAGGGGGCGGGTACAGTTGCAGCGTCTCAGTATACCGCGAGCAGCAGCTCGCGGTATACTGCGGCGGCGTATACTGCGGCGTCTCAGTATACCGCGAGCTACAGCTCGCGGTATACTGAGCCTAGGGTGACGGGAGGGCGCTAGTTTTTGTCCTCCCATTACCCTAAGGAGAACTATGGGGAAAAGCCTTAACCCCATAGTTCTCATTTAATACCTGCCTACATTTGCTTTCTAATATAAGACAGTCTATATGAGACATAAATCTCCAGATACAGAAAGATCCATTACTTGGCTTCCATACCTCTATACACAGTAAAAAAAATGTGAAATGCCACAATATTAAATATACAGGGATGAAACAAAATCCTTGGCATCATTATTTATAGTAATAAAGAGATTAAATACAACTCGCAGACCTAATGTAGACAAGCAAAGGAGTTAACGAGTGTCTTGTTCTACTATACCCAAGTGGCATCTTTCCAAGCCTTACATTGCAGCTTTCTGCATTGCCAGTCCTGATATAATACTGCCAAACTGGATTAAGAGCTGACTACACTGGCAGCCACAGATATTTTTACTAACATAGTGTGCAATCTGTAAGCCAACATAAACTATAGGAAATGATTCTAGTGTGTAAGGAGTCAAAGAAACCTAAGTGGAAATCTGTATTGAAATTGATTTATATCGGATATATTCCAGTTCAGCAATAAATACCCGCTGTTACTGTTATTTCAGTGAAATGGCTTTGTAAATTCACAATACTATAGCAAGCAGTGTAAAAACAAAACAAGGGATATCATTGATGTTGTTATAAAAAAAACAAAAAACTTTTTGAGGTCATCTACAAATTTACAGTAGCCCAGACAGCAAGCAATTGAGCTGCAAGTTTGAAAATGACTTGCTAAACTATTGCAGACTTGCCAAGCTTCACAATTTTGTTGCACAATTACAGCAAGTCTGCATTGCAAGTCTCCAGATTAACGTGCTTTGCAAAAGTGCTGTACACTTGCAGAGCTCTTGCTAGGACCTGCAGGACTCTTGCTGTAGACTTGCCAAGCAAATTTGCTACAAATTCAAAAAGTGTCAACTAGAACTTGTGCTGCAAGTGTTCTGCAAGTCTACAACTTGCCAGGAATGTGTACAGCAAGTTAACAAGAATTACAATTTAACCCTGCCACAAGTTTGTGGCAAATTATCCTTGCTATCTAGGAGGTTGTGCCACATTAGGTATGAAAGAGAGTGAGCATTGTATGTATAAATGAAACCTTTCAATTGCAAAGTATGAACATAGTAGTGTCTTTATAATCAACTCCATGGGCTGTTTCAATCACACTCCTTCTTTCCCTAAACATGCAGTCTAAGCACACCAAATGGCACTGTTAAATGCAAATGTAAACTGTTTGTACAAAATCAGTAGTTTAGCCCACATGCCCATCTCTATCCACTCCCTTCACCTCATGGATGTGATACGCGGCAGTCGCAGGATCGCAGAATAGGCAGCGAACCTTGTGGACCGTGTGACAGTCTGCCATCTCTTTCTTTGCCCTGTTAGAGGCATGATGGCAGCACTGTATGGGTAAATACCTGTATCTCTGGGGAATGACAAGACCTGAGTTTTGTTCACTTATTATGTATCGGTGGTTCTTTATAAACTAAATAGTTCATGTTTGGCAGCTGTTTCTTTGAACATTGGCAATGGAAAGAGTTGCTTTGAAGTTGTCATTTTTCATAGCTGTGCAATTCGATGGTGTTTTGATCCTCACATGATAATGCTCAAAGCTTGTATCACTAGGCTATTATTTATATCTACCTCTGTTAAATGCGCATGTAATTGTATCATAAGGTGCAATTATGTCCAGTCACTATAATTGGGAGATAGAACTGATATCTTTGTCACATAACACTAGTGCAAATGGTTACACATTTTTTGTATCAGATAATGTTGCATAGAACTGTCAGTTTCAAGTTTAGCTAACAGGAACCTTTACGCTTGGTTCACACCTGAGCGTTTTTTTGTATGCTCGTTTTTCAGCTAATTTTTTTTCGTGTTTATTCGTTCAGTGAAACGCGCGTTTCACTGGCGGTATGATTTTTTTTCCTTTATTTTCTCTATTTAAAAAAAAAATGTAGTTTCACTTTTAAACTTCCAACCGGCTCCACCCCCCTGCGACGCGGCCGCTTGCAAGGGACGGAACCCGGAAGTCGGCAGCCACCGAAGACACAGCGGGGATCGCGGACAAGGTAAGACCTGTACGCTGTATTCACGAGTGTGGCTCGGGGTTACTGCTTTGTTAACCCCGATCCACACTCTGGAATACCAATGGCAACGCGCTGCAAAACGCCCCAAAGAAGCTCCTGTACTTCTTTGGGCATAGGGTGTTTTGCAGCGCGTTCCTACGCGCTGTAAAATGCCCAGGTGGGAACCATGCCCATATGTAATCATTGGTTTTTACACGTTGAGCGTAGGAACGCGCTGTAAAACGCCCAGGTTTGAACCAGGCCTAAAATCAGACACTCCAAGATGGTTGCTGTTACCTTCATTACCTAGTAAAGCTTTTTTTTTTTGCCCCTCTGAATTAGTTTACCTTTGTTAGTGGAGCATGACTTTTCCTGACTTCATATCTAAGCCCTGCCAACTACCATTTGGCTATCCAATGAGACCCACTTAGTGGCCAGTAAAAGCACTCTCAGTGCACGGAGGGGTGGCAGATGGTGTAGTCATAAAGCCATGGCCCAGTAACAAAGCAAAATTAATTCAGTGAAGGCAACAGAAGTGGTTTTCCTCACGGAAGGCAACTTATGGTGTCTTCTGTTACACATGGCAATTACTTTTAAAGTGATATGAAAGTCAAAGGGTTTTTAAGCTATTTCAAATGCTGATTAAATCACTTACAGTGGACTCTTCTCCCTAATATTTAACATTTCAGTTTCCTGTTGAATCAGCTGGTCCCTTGAGAGCTCGCCCTGATTTCCTGGCCCTGGCTTTTCCTTGCAGGGCCCTATAGAGCCACCCTTGTGTGTGCTAGCAAGGTATGTGTGTCTGCACACAGATCCAGATACAGCAAGGCAAGTCACTCCCCTGCTCCTCTTTCTTCTTTCCTCCTTCCTCCAAGCTAGTAGATGGACAGCTACTGGAGACTGATCTGTCCCTTGTGGTCTTGTACTGAACAGAAAGTTCAGAGAAGCTGAGCTAAGAGAGTTGGAGCTGTTTAGAAACATGATGACTGTAAGTCCTTAGGCTAAAATGTACAGAAATACTATGCTGGGCAATATATATTTGTTTGCTCTGGATTCATTATTGAAAAGAAGTTGAGAGTTTAATGCTACTTTATTGGTATAAAACTCACTTACCATTTATTTCAAATGGATAATCTAAAGTTATGTGATACATTTGAAAGAGCAATAATATTTCACCTTATATTGGTTAATGTAAACCTAGTGTCTGCTTGAAATTTGGGTTTATTTTCAGAATTCCTAGGCATCCTCTAAGACTCGGCAATCTATTTTGTTTCTGTGGTTATTACTCCCAATTGCCTCCCTTATTACTATTCCGTTTAGTAGCCAGTAGAATAGTGTGGTGTCAGAAAGAGATGGGATAAGGATCTCTGTTTGCATAACTGAACACTTCTGTTTTAGGACTACTTTAGATAGTAAGATGAATTGTAAAATTCACTATAAGGCCATGAGTCATAACCCCAGCACAGACTAGGTTAATTATTTGAAACATATGCCCCCCAAACCCTTCAGATAGTGAGAACTGAGCAGGATTTTTTAGTCCTGGAATTAGCACAATGAACATCTAAAAGAAGGAAAGTGGCAATGTTAAAATACATTTTGTTATGCTATGTGATTGAGAAAATGTAACAATGATTAAGTAGGTGTTATCCCAATTTGGTTGCAAAAGTGGAAATACACTTTAAGTAGGAACATCTAAACACAGGAAACAGTGATCCGGGAAGCATAACATTTGTTCACCCTTCCCAGATAACTCTTCCTGCATTTAGAGTGCCAATGTGAATGGGGCCTAAGGTCTTTCAGGAAAGTCTACACCAGATTTTTGCAGATTGGTTACCATGGGCCACTGGGCTTGTACACTAAATATTACATATGTTTGTGCACATTAGTACAATATATTAATAATCATTAATCACTATTTAAATCATTATTTAATCATTAATAAATTAATTGATTCATTTTCCGATTATTATTACTGCTGTCTTTTCCAGGCATATCCCTGCATAAGTGATAAAGAGTGTGAAGTAGGAAAATATTGCTACAGTCCTCATCAGGCTCCTTCCTCCTGTATGGCTTGCAGAAGAAAGAAGAAACGCTGCCACAGAGATGGCATGTGCTGTCCTGGTAATCGCTGCAACAATGGTAAGGTGATTTATATTATACGCAAATATACAGTATATGATTCTCTAATACACTGTGGCCATCTTTAGACCATCAGACTATCTATTGGCAGGTTCTGACATTATTTCTCTTCTACTACCATCAGTGATGAGGAGTAGGGATGAGCTCAGGTTTGGTGTCGGCCCAATCATCTGTGGCTGAGGCATTTCCTGCCACACAGCATCATGTAAACAAACAAAAAAAAGGGGTGGGATGTTGGTATGTGCACATGGAATTAAGAGGAAAATTCCTCAAAGTGAGAAAAAACAATTTTTAGATATTTTTTTTTACCAGAACAGGTAACTGACAACAACTTAAATTTCCCTTACTTCCAGTTCCAGGACACTGGTCACAGTGGACAGTGAACAGTGGTGGGAGGGTGAATTACACACAGCAATAAAAAGCTCACAGAGAATTTAATCCCTCACCATAGGAAAAAAAAATACGGCTTTAGATATACTTTAGAATGGAACAAAACTACATAAAACACTGGAGGCCCCAGGACCTCTTGCCTTATTATGCAAGTATGCTCAGCATTTTTACATATTATGGTACGTGCCTTGCAAAGCATTGTCCCGCAATATTCGTGATTCCCCTCCTCATTTAATTGCTGGAGCATTCATCATTTTTCAGATTCGCAGTCTTTGACCGTCTTGATTGGACAGACCAGGATGACATAATTCTGTCCCAGCAATAAAGGCAAGCTGAAATTGAAGAAAGGGAGGAAACATTACCTTAATGTTGCCCATCAAATTAATATTCAGGGATGATGTTCCTAAGTGCTAAAGCTATTTGACCTTATAAAGAAGCCAGGAGATGATGTAACTGCATGCATAAAACATTCAATAAGATTTATTTTTCCATTTTCATTCTGGGTTGTTGATATGTAGAAGCATTTGCCTCTGGGTCTGCTGTGCTTGTGTGGCATTTTAGGACTTTTAGGCATTTTACTTGCCAGCAAAAAAATCTAGTTAGAACACATAAATTAGCAGCGTATGCAGATTACCTGGTCTTCTTCGTTTCCCGTCCATTGACCTCACTGCCTTCCCTCCTGAGGGCCTTTGATACATATGGAGGTATCTCCAATTTTTTGGTCAACCAGGTCAAGTCGGAGGTTCTCAATGTAAATGTACCCCCCGCAGAAGTGGCCAAGGTGAGAGCCTCATTCCATTTCCGCTGGAAGCAGTCGTGTTTAAACCACCTGGGGTACGCATAAGTGTGGATCCGGGTCAGTTATACGTGGAAAACTATGTGCCATTGCTCCATACGCTTAAACAAAACCCCTACAACTGGCAAGAGCTGACACTGACATGGTTTGGCCGCTGTGCCTCCCTAAAAATGACAGATTTTGTACATCCGAAGGATCGGACCCCTCTGTGTTCTCAGCTTAAAGGAGAGTTATTGGGACAGTAAATTGTACTCAAACTAGAAAAGAATGGTAACCGCATAAATTTGGTAGCAGGGTGCACATGGGAAGGCTTACCGCAATACAAAACACAAAAAGAATCCCTAGCACGCCTGCCAGCTAGCCTGCAGCAAAACAAGTTACCCTGTCAACAGTATGCATTAAAAACAGAGGTTTTAGTTGCACAAACCTTTGGCCAAAAATATGTAGAAGCCACACTGCCCCGTCATGGCTCCTCTGTGAAGTGTGGTCCACTCCTAACTCTATTTATGAGTCTCCATGTTGGAGCATATTAATGCAGTCGATAAATTAAATGCAGGTGTACCTGGAGGTAGCCTACTCCTCCTCAAAACGTACAGTGCATTTTGGATTGCTGTGCCTACCAGTGCTACCAGTGCGTCCCTGGATTTTCGCATTAAGATAAAAAAAGTCTCAAAAAACTAGTAAGGAGAAAATGATTTTAATCCCTTAATTACCAGAGGTCTCTGATGCCTAGGTGTGCAGATCAAGTTTAGCACCATCTCTATGTGTGCATTAACATGACAACAACTCTATGCTTAATTTGCTGTATATGGCATATCTTTTATTAGTTACTTTCTTTTAATAAATACCCTGCTCATGTTTTTTAATCTGAAAAATGCAGAAAAAAGTGTTGTAAGATTTTTAGTGAATTACTTTTTTATTTACTGTATTTGACTGGGTTTGTGTGCCAGGTCAGAAAATAAGCTGGTGAAGCACAATCTAATAGACCCCTGATGAAGGCCTGACATTTCCTCTGTACTATCACTTAGGGGGTTTGATAACCCCTATGTGATAGCAATAAAGTAAAAGTGGACCTTTAACGCCTTTCAGTAAAAATCATGTCAGCATGCAGCTCTCCATGCTTAAATTAAATCATCTTACATTCATTAATTAAATAAACATATTTTTCTTTTATTTACAATTATGGTTTTCCACTTCCTGATCCTCTTAGCCATTAGTGATCACAGTGCATTGCTGGGAAATTTAATCTGTAATCTCACGAGATCTCAGGGAAAGGCATTTTTTCCCTAAGTGGATGTCCCTAAGAGGATGAGCATGTTCATGTGCCCTAGTCACATGTGCCAGAGTTCCTGGAAGTAAAGGGAGATATATTAATCTGCCTTTAGTTAAAATGGCCACTGTGAAAAGAATGGGGAGGAAAAGAAAATAAGGTTTGCAAAGAAAAAAAGGCCTGCGATTGTCTATAAGTATCCATTTTTAGATTGTCATTACTAAACATTTCTAAAGGTACCTTTTTTGTAATTTTTAAGATGAAGGTAAAGTTCTTCCTTAACTGTAACAGAAAGTTTAAAATTTTACATATTAAAGTGACAAAAAAAAGGTAAAGCCCTTCACCCCCATGTAAACAAACATGCGTCATGGTACTTCTATGTGTTAAAATGACAACTGCACAACACGTTACATATCCCCACAAACAGACATCGGAGTGAGAGCAATCATTTTAGTGCCATTACTTACTGTTAGCTCTAAATGAAAAGAGGACTATGGCCAAACCTTTTTTGGCTTTCTCTTTAGGGTCCCAGAAGGACTTATAGTAATGTCTATTACTATAATGGCTATTGCCCGCTATATGCGGACATCACAGAGCTGCACTGTTGTTGTTGCAATATTCTCGGGATCCACCCCGCTACCTGATTGACAGTGCCCTCCCCCTCTATTTCTCCAGTCAGCACTGGTAGAACAGAAAGGGGAGGGGGGAATCCCTGTGGAAACGGTGACTGACAATCACCGCTTTGTGCAGGGAGAAGATAGTGAACTCAATCTATAGAGCCAGCTGCAGTGTCACACGGCAGCTCTAACTATTAGGCAGAGTGTGTTTCACTCTCCCAATAATTCTTCTTTAATGAGTGATAAAGGTTTTTAAAGCTGTAGTTTTTTGCCAATTCATTGGCGCACTCAATTTTAAGGTTTGATATGTCTGGTATCTATTCACCCCATCTTCGATATTTTACAAAAAAATTGATTATTTTCGTGTCAGAATAAAGAAAAAAAAGACACAGCAGTGTTTCTCTCCTGGGCGGCCGGGAGCGGGAGGCTCCCAGAGCGCCCGGGAGAGTTTTTTTCTTTCTTTTTTTTTTGACATCAGCAGAGCCACCGGAAAATAGGAAACTATTGGGCGGAGCTAGCTGTCACTGCTAGCTCCGCACAATCGTTTTCTATTTACTTTTTTTTTACCTTTTTTAACTCTTTCTCTGTTCTGCTCAGTTCCTCTGAGGGGCCGAGCAGAACAGGCGAGCCGAATGCCGCTCATCGGCATTCGGCTATTCACTCACTGCTGTTCGGCATCTTTAAGAATAGGCCGAACAGCAGTGAGTAGCCTGCCGGAGGTTCAGCTCAGCCGATCCAGATGTTGGATCAGCTGAGTCGAACTCCTTCTGCACTTCGGGTCGGCCGAACATGCTGAGCCGTACCAGCCTGAAGTGAATAGCCGAACAGTGTTCGCCTCACTTCACTCACTTAGGCTCACTTCACTTCAGGTCGGTCATTCACTCGGCTGCCTATGGCAGCTTAGTTAATAGACCCCTATGTGTCTAATGCATTTTTTTCTAAAATATAGGTATGATAAACATTTGCGCAAATATTGTGTGATTTAAAAATTAATTTTTTGTTCTACAGGGCTTTGGCTTTAAGAAAATATATAATTGTTTAGGGGTTTTAAGCAGTTTTATAGCCAAAAATTAAAACGTCAACATGTGTGCGGAAAACATTTAAAAAATTGCTTCAGGAGCAAAGTGGTTAATCCAAAAGGTTAATGCTGTTAAATCTAAACCAATAATAAAACTCTGTGTCCATTTCAAGCCAATTGCTTGGTGTCGGTATACTGTATTTTTTAAATCTGTGTGTGTTATTTGTAGCGTGATATCTTGCCCTCGAGCCGTGGATTGCAATTCCATGGGAGTGCGAGGAACAAATTTGAAGGGTTAAATTATTATGCATAATATAATAACTGACCTCTTTTCTACAAATCAGTTGTGCAGGGTGTCAGTGATCGGCTGCTTCAATGTAGTTCTTTACAATTAAAACGTCATTTAAACTAATATCAGGCAGTTTCCAAAATTCACATACGCACAGCAAGATTATTATAATAGCAGCATTAAATGTTTATAAGTGTTAAAAAGAATGTAAGGCTCACAATATGATTCCATGTTAGAACCCTCCATCTAAGCACTCAAATAATTAATTGGCTGTAGGTGGTCCAAGAAGCCAAAACCCCATGATAAAAAAAGAGAAATTTGACTACTTTGTGCCATATATTATTTCTTATTATACACTTTCATAAAATCTACAAATACTTTGGCAGTATAATAAAATAACATTTCCAAAGGATATCCCATTTGGTGGTACATGCTAGTGTTTCCACTGAAGAAACCAGGCCAACAGATTATTGCTGCTGAATACTACAATAAAAGCAGGCACAAGCGTATCAGTTTCAGTGGAAATTGCACTGGACTTTGTTATAAGTGTTCTGGCAATGTCAAGTCCAATTTAGATGATGAAGTGTTTTCACAGCTTTTTAAATGCAGTAATTTCTTTATGAATGTATAGGTATTGCAGGCTTCTTTGGCATGAACCAGCACCAATCAGGTCTGTCCTCTTATTCCCACAATTTTTAGGCTAGATGTAGTCATACAATGTTCAGTAGCATATAAGTAACTCCTGCCATGTTGTTGCACAGCTGTGACTGTTTATTAAACAGGAACATCAACAGGTTGAAATATCTCTCACTCTCAATCTTTGGGGTTAATTTACTAAAGGAGTATAGGCTATTCACTTATATTGTTACTTTGCAAGGGGATTTTCCCTTAGCTTAGTGAATGATGTCTAGCCCTGCAGATTTCTATCATCCAATCATATACAAAATACTGGGGTTTTTGTTATTTTCCTTGCACTTGATTGGGCAAGTGAATTTTCACCACATTCACTACGCTAAGTGAAATGCCTATGCAAACTAAAATTTCATTTTGCAAAGTAAAAATGCTTTAGTAACTAATTTCTTTGTTTTTCTCTTTCTCTCTCTCTTTAAAACTGTACATTTTGTTCATGTTTATAAAGTCACAGTTGTACATTAATAGTTTGGGGATAGGTGGGCTGACTTTGAGCGTGTTGCTTAGCATTCTTCACATTGCTGTAATCACCATCACGTGGACATTGTAGGACAACCTAATGTGCAAGTGTGATTAAGAAACAGTCACTGGCACGATGTCTGGTGTTTACATACCCCCTGTCCCATTAAAACGAATCATATGAGCTTTAAAGACTAAGCTATATTGGCTACAGCAAAAAAAAACTAGGGAGAGCTGGAGCAGAATTGGAACTGGGCAGGACAGTCATGCAGTCCTCTTTCTGTGCCCCATTTCTTTGAACATAAACCAGATTATAAATCAGAGATTAAGAGAGCTGTGGCAGAGCATATTGTGAGTACTGCTTCTCGAGTGCCCCCCTGTTAATTATATTTATTGAACTACAGTATTTGGCCACTATTTACTCTATAGTTTTATTATGATTTGTCTTTAGTGTTTGGATCAATGTGCCATACACAAATGGATTTAAAGCTGTACTCTGGAATAAAATGATAACTTGCACACCACCCTGGGTGCGTAAATTAACATTAAGAAACTGGGTGTTATGTGCAGAGGCTGTTGCAAAGTACAAAAATCTTACATTGAAGCACACCGTCTCCTACATATAATGCTGAGCTTCCAGGCACTGTGGGCAGTGAGAGATGCAAGTTGAGCAGTGATGTGCTCCGGCTGCATCACCCTTCGCCTCCTCACTACCTGTCCATTCACAAAATGTCTTGTGGGGTTTTTTTTAAATACAAGGCAATTTTTAATTGGTGAAGGAGAGGTGGGGGCAGGGATGTGACATCTCTCCTCCTCCAATCACAGAATGTTTTGTATTCGCAAGGTCTTTTGTGAATGGGCAATATTGCAGAGAGACGGGTGATGCAAACGGAGCACTTCACTGCTCGAGTTGCATCCTTTACTCCCCGCAGTGTCTGGAAGCTCGGCATTGAGTGCTGGACAAACAGGCTGAACTAGGTACTGTTCAACTTCTTGCTGTGTTGTCTGATTTCTTTTACCAGGGTTTTATTGGAGTTTTGCATAGACAAAGGAAAGATTAAAGAACAATCTGATTTTTGAGATGCACATTAGCAACCTCAGCACATACCTTGCACAATCACACATCAAAAGCGATAGCGTAATATACAAGTCAGAAAGCTATTGATTAAGTAGGTTTTGTGTCTTATACTAGTCCCCCCATGCTGGACGAGCTAAATCATTATCATTATTAGTAAATTGCGTCAAGTAATTTAGTGGGCCAAAAAACCCTATGTAAATTTCATATTTTATCCAAATAAAAAGGCTGGTAAAGAGAGTGAAGAAATAAGGAAAAAATCCAGGGGAATAGCACAGAATCAGAGAGGTCCTATCAAGGCAGTATAGTAATGCTTAAACCCACAAAGTGTAGGATAGTCAATCTGTGGGGACCAAAGGCTTAAGAAATGTTGTGCAAAAAACTAGAGTGGGTTGCACCAGGATTTGGCAATTGTCGGTCTCATGGCTAGGATAAAATAATAGCCCTTTCACTGTCAAATCCATTTTTTTTTTCATTTTACACACACATACTGAAATGCACAATTTTCACATGAAAACACACTTAAAAGTACAAAAATTTGATATTGTCTAAAAGCAAAGTCCCTGTACAATAAAATGGGGGAAGTTTCATTTTCTAATGCTACAATATATTTGTACAACTGCTTATCAAAACAGTTTTTTGTGAAAAATACACTTACATTTTAGTGCACACAACAAAATACCATGGGGAGAATTTATCAAAACTGGAGCAGACCAAATATGGAGCAGTTGCCCATGACAAGCAATCAGCTTCTCTCTACAGTTTGTTCAGTTAAGATCTGAAAATGAAAGAGAGAAACTAATTGGTTGCCAGGCACAGCTGCTCCAGATTTAGTCTGCTCCAGTTTTCATAAATCCCTCTCCATGTAATCCCCAATTTTTTTTTTAAATATAAAACATGAGTAGCTAGATACCAAACATGTTAAGCTTCAAAACTGTGTGGTAAAAACTGAGTTTAACAAAACTGCACATCATACACTAAGGATAATATGGTATTTATGAAATGTGCATTATTATATTTTACAGGTATTTGCATTCCAGTTTCTGAAACGATCTTGACAGCTCATATACCAGAACTTGAAGGGCGCCCAAAGAAGAACAGCCATACATCTAGTAAAGATGTGGGATGGGAGAATATTGGGAGACATCACACTAAAATGCCCCATATAAAAGGTAAGACCACATGCTGCTATGTATAGAAATATCTTGCTTTTACAAAAGATATGTTTTATTTCACTTGCTGTTCCACAGATACAACAGCAAGTGAAAGGAAATCTCCGCAATGTATAGGTAAATCCTCTTTTAGTGTAGTTCTCACCAAAACATTATTTTTCCATTATTTGCAGACCCATTTACAATGATCACTAGGACAGATACAGTGGGTTATCCTTCCTATTTGGGACACATATGGTAATAAATAATTGAGAGGCTATATGGCCCATTCCATTACGTTATCCAAAACAAAAAAAAGCTTTGGCTTTAGATACAAAACCAACATCTAATGGCATATAAATGTATACTTTTTTATAAGCTTGTATATTTTGGAACCTTCTGGCATATTGTTTCTGCTGGCGTTCCTCTCATTATTGGCAGTGATTGCTGGTGAAATTGTTCAGTAATGGATGTTCGAAAAGAAGTGGGAACTGTCTGTCTGCATTGTGGTGCACAATGGAGATTACTGGATAACAAATCTGTAGACTAATAGAACACCTCTCTTAGAGCATAATTAACAATCAATCCAGTTAGCATTTAAAATATGGAGCATCTCATCTAGTAAGGATTTCAATTTAAAGAGAAGCTACGGTTGTCAGAACTCTCTGCTAATAGACCACACAGGCTTTTGAAATAAATGCCAGCAAACATATATAAATATAAAGATATTACTCCTCATGATAGAAAGGGTGCTGAATAAATGATCCAGGAGGTGCTTACATTCAAGGTGTTTCATGGTGGAATGTCTGCCTCTTCTGTGATACAGCTTAATTAGTGCAAATAGTTTCTGTTGTGTTTATATGCTCAACAACATGTAAAGTGAAGAGACCAGGCAATGGAAGATGAGTATCGAGGGTGTAGTCTAACCTCTAACATTAGCTTCTTCATTACAAAAATGTAGCGTCAATTGAATTAATATTTAAAAACAACAATGTTAAGGATTAGGCTGACATTTGGAAGAAAGGCAACTTTATAACAAACCTGAATATTGAAAGTTGGGTATGGCATAGTAGAAACTAATAAAAGCATAACATATTTTTTTAGTCTGAGAGGGGCTACTTTCTTGCTATGTGGACCCCCAAGGACAGGTTTTGAATTCCCAAAGTGGCAACGCCAACCAGGGCTCAGAGAACTGCAACTGAATACACCCCACTCAAGCTTCATCCAACTCACAGAAAGCAGCTTACATGAGACTCATCTGACTACTTCTCATAGGCCTGCAACTATCTTATGTAGCTTACACTGTAGGCAATATGCCCATGTAAAAATGTTCAATGATTCTGCGCTAGGTTGAGAAAATAAATATAAGTGCTAGTGTGAAAATATGGAGGCTGCAGCAAAAATGACCCTTAGGTCAACACACAGAAATTAAAATATGCAGCGCCAACATCAATTAACAAATGTGTCACTTTTAGTATACACTGTGATCAATACGTGAACAATATATACATGAATGTGAATAAATATTCCAAAAAAGAGCAATCAAATGTACAAAAAATAAATATAATTATAAAAGTAAAAATAATCGAAAACACACATATAAATATTAAAATGTTCCTTTTTCCCTTTTCTTAAAAAACCATTGACCTGGGCAATCGATCCCGCAAGGTCTCTGAAAAGGTCCAAAGTTGGTGAATGAACCACCGTGTGGGAGGGTATGTGTTTATCTTGTGAAGTGATGTCAAAAAGGAAATTCCTTGAACTTTTGCTGGGGATATAGGTCAGATGCCGTATATATCCCCTCAAAGGGTGCACTCACCGTGTAGCCGTGGCTGTGATAAGCAGCCGGAAGCGCTCAAATGGAAGCTCTCAGAGCCGCAGTATTCTCCCCACGTATCTGCAAAATCTCCAGTCGGCGGATGCTGTATCTCCTCGATCATGAAAAAAAGGAGCCTTTCATTGCATAGTATTTTAAAAAACTTGGCTTTATTTAAAAACAAGTAAAAAGAAAACCAGCGAACATTCAAATCGTTCGGCTTTTAAAAACAATCCACAAAATCCTGTATCGGTATGACGTATGATTAGGCCCGCCCCTTAGCGTTTCGTCGTCTTGATGTCTTCAGGGGGTTGTGCAGGTCTAACCCGTCATACCAAGATCCTCTACTTATATCATACAATCAATTAATTAATCATTCAATTGCCGCCCTATGTCTCACTGATAATAGATGCAGCATAAATGACAAAATAACATCCAATACATATCCATCAAATGTTCATTCCGATGTACAATTATAAGATTATTAAAAACATCGTACTAATACATTTTAAAACCTTCCTTCTATATAAATATAAACATTGATCGGAATGAACATTTGATGGATATGTATTGGATGTTATTTTGTCATTTATGCTGCATCTATTGTCAGTGAGACATAGGGCGGCAATTGAATGATTAATTAATTGATTGTATGATATAAGTAGAGGATCTTGGTATGACGGGTTAGACCTGCACAACCCCCTGAAGACGTCAAGACGACGAAACGCTAAGGGGCGGGCCTAATCAAACGTCATACCGATACAGGATTTTGTGGATTGTTTTTAAAAGCCGAACGATTTGAATGTTCGCGGTTTTCTTTTTACTTGTTTTTAAATAAAGCCAAGTTTTTTTAAATACTATGCAATGAAAGGCTCCTTTTTTTCATGATTGAGGAGATACAGCATCCGCCGACTGGAGATTTTGCAGATACGTGGGGAGAATACTGCGGCTCTGAGAGCTTCCATTTGAGCGCTTCCGGCTGCTTATCACAGCCACGGCTACACGGTGAGTGCACCCTTTCAGGGGATATATACGGCATCTGACCTATATCCCCAGCAAAAGTTCAAGGAATTTCCTTTTTGACATCACTTCACAAGATAAACACTTTCCTACACACGGTGGTTCGTTCACCAACTTTGGACCTTTTCAGAGACCTTGCGGGATCGATTGCCCAGGTCAATGGTTTTTTAAGAAAAGGGAAAAAGGAACATTTTAATATTTATATGTGTGTTTTCGATTATTTTTACTTTTATAATTATATTTATTTTTTGTACATTTGATTGCTCTTTTTTGGAATATATATTCACATGCATGTATATATTGTTCACGTATTGATCACAGTGTATACTAAAAGTGACACATTCAATATGCCCATGTAACACCACACCAAGCTAAGCCTAACACAAAAGAGAGCTTTTTAGGAGGCCCCCCTGATATTCCCCCCAATAAACATAGAGCCCTAATAAAACCACTTGTGAACATTTTCATGCCATCTTACGAAAAGTGCATATTGTAATCAATCATTAGTTTTTGTTTCAAAACAAAAATATTTTAGGTATTCTTGCCTTTTTGTGTGTCATCATACTTGTTTGCTTTTATTTCTTAGGACATGAGGGGGATCCTTGCCTTCGGTCAACCGACTGCATTGAAGGTTATTGCTGTGCTCGCCATTTTTGGACCAAAATTTGCAAACCAGTATTACGCCAAGGGGAAGTTTGCACAAAGATAAGGAAAAAAGGTTCTCATGGATTGGAGATCTTTCAGCGATGCGACTGTGCTAAGGGCTTGTCTTGCAAAGTATGGAAGGATGCCACATATTCTTCAAAATCAAGACTGCACATTTGCCAGAAAATCTAAGCCATTAGAACCATTGATACAACAGACTGTGTTCTTGAAGGAGGATACTGTTGATCCACATATATGAAGGACATTGGTACTGAGAAAAACACTGAACTGAAAGGCGATGTATATTATGAACTGGAGCTAATGGACCTTACCTGTGTAAATAAACAATTTGCAACGTTGACATTTCATAAAATAGCATTTATTATGGTAACAACGCATGCCCAGTAATTTTACAAAAATATATGAGCATTAAGTATATAGACATTATCTTCATTTGTGTATTCCGTGAAAAAACTCTTTACAAAATCCAAACATAGTTGTTGCTTAAAGTTTTCTATGCATTGGCATGGAGTGCTTTATATGAAAAGTAGAACAGATTTTGTCCAGGGAATACAACTATAGTGTTTTCACATGATGATCAATCATACCAGATTACAGTTACGGTATATCCTGTTCTTTGTCAGGGAAGTCTTCTTGAAAACACAGAAATCTGGGTCAGCCAATTACTGGCAACTACCAAACGTTCCAGAGAGCTCAATTATGAATAACAGATCTATGCAAGTCAGATATTGCTGACACTGTGCCGACCAGATCTTTATTATTAAATTATACCAATTAAGAGAAAGCACGTCTGCTCAACACAAAATTCACTGTAGCATTTAAAATGGTTAGTCCACATGTGTTAGCTGTCCGGTTTTATACACTACAGTAATTTTTTGTGGTTTAAAGAATTAATATCATGAAAAAATTGTCTCATAAATAAGAGCAAGGCAACATCGTATAATTTGCTAACCGAGAAGGATATCATCATTTACTACAGTAAAATAGAAAATATGCACAGAAATATGATAGTGGTGGCTGCTTCTTCTTCTCATCAGCATTAATTGCCTTTCTTATTCTCTACAGTTATTTATGCTGTTCAGTTTCGACGCCCATGTTCTGATCTGGCTTTCATTTAAAAATAAATAAAATAGTCATATTTGTTTTGTATTGCATGTGACTTTGTCTTGAATGCTAACAATTTACATTGAAAGGGTCAAAGTGGTGCAAACCATGTTATGGGAACCTGTTACTACATGGATGGTTCAGACTGTTGAACAAAGGTGTAGGACTGTATCAGCAAGATAAACTTGCCCAAGTTTTGCAAGTAATGAAAAAAGAGATTTCTGTCAGCGCCAAATACTCTGATCTTCAAATGTGTAACCTGCAGAGATCTAATTTTTAATCCTCAGTAAGTGAACTTCACCGGGTCAAAATAATTTTAAAAATTTAAAATGCAAACAAACTGACAGGATATGTGTTTGCTGCCAATTTTCCCTTTTGAATTGAATTTGCATTTTATGTACATTATATGCAAGACTGCTGAAAAAGCTGAAAAGCATGTAGCCACAGCACCCTTAGATGTTAAAGATGAATTTATCTAACACCATTATGTTCCTTATGTCCACCTCACCATTACCTGTCTTGTTATCCATTCTCCTTGGTCCCAGTCATTGCTTCATAGAAGCCCTAATTTTCATGCATTGCACTGATGATGGCCAACAAATATGAAACAGCTCTATGTAGTTGAAAATAATCAGCACTATAGTATTAGATTATATGTGCTGCAAACCAGTGATGGTGAGGTTGGCCCAAAGGCATAAAGGAATGATTGTCCCTTCTCCTAAAATTAGAAATAAACTTGTCTTTTTGATCTGTGATGCAAGTAAGTACATATCCTCTGCTGTAATAAGGTCCTGCCATGCTTTACAGAGCATTAGTAGTGGGCTTTTCAGTTTATTTAAGCCCATCTCACCATAAACTGTCCGGTTATACTTTCACTATGATATTTTTAAACAGTAGATAAGGGCCATTTTATAATGTGTATGTTCAACTAAATTACATTGTTGAAATACGATGCACTTGTCACCAGGGAACCATTTGTTAAGCTATGAGCTGCCTTGGAATGCTAACAGCTCTGCATCAGCCAACCTGGTAACAGAAGTTCTAAAACTATTCAAGTACCATCATGCAGAACCTTGCAGTTCTGTAAGGCCTGAGAACCTCAGGGGCATAAAAGGATCTTGTGATTGTTGCTAATTCAGTGGTGAAACCAAAGCCTAGCATAGCTGACAAAATTGTATAATATTTTTCAAGAGCGCTTTCTTGCTGCAGTGGCTTACCATGCTAGTTTTGCTGTGATGGGCCATACTTTAAAAAATACACGTACATGAATGAAACCCTTTTTTCTTGACCCCTGTATCTGCAGGCACTGTGGAGCAATTAATTCCCAAAGTTCACAACAGAACCTAGGTTACTCCCCCTTTACTTGAGAGACTAGAAGTCTGAAATTCTGATGAGTTGTGGTGTTGATCTGAACATACCTGGACTTGGTTCACAGGATGTTAGCCAAACTGCACGGACGTTCTAATGTTGATCAGAACCCCATTGAAGCTAAAGGAAGCTGAATCTTTAAAATTAATTTTCTCAATTTTTAAGGCTAATAGGCAAGGGATTTTCAAACAAGAAGCATGGGGACTTAGGCACTGCCCTGGGGAACATGCACCAATGCAGAAAATAAATAAATTAAATTCTGTTTAATGTTTTCTTCATAGTGTATCTCATGCAAGAGAAATATCAGCTCCCATCCATTGGTAAGTCTTTCTCTATAGGGCTGATCACTGACGTGAGTTGTTAACAAGAAGAATCTGTTCAAAAGAGAGTAGCTCTTTCAATAATGCTTGAAGTGTAAATGATATTCCCTGCCTGGTTTTTTTTTTTGTAAAAAAAAAAATGGCAAAAGGACTCCCCAAAATTCAACAAAGGGCAGGAGAAGCTGGGCACTGCCCTGTGGAATATGCACCAATAAAAAGAATTAAGTTACAATCCACTCTTTTAAAAACAACTTAAATTTAAACATTGAAACTGCAAAACTCCTTTACATAACATGAAGGGAAATGCCCTAAATACTGAAGCAAAACTGCCATTTACAGTAAATAATGTTTTTTTGCTGGCTTGTTTTGTTGTGGTTTTTTTTAAAAAGCAAGAAGACTTAAGACTAACTTTAAATAGGGTATGATACAGATGAGGACAGTGGCTTCTTCCCCATATCCACTTAGGGATGCTTATTGGAATCTGGAAGCCACCTTTCAGATTAGGGGGCTCCAGATATCCACCCCCTCCCCTACATGAATTACTAAGTTTTACATAGTACCCCTTCACAACAAAAATGTAAATAAACACACTCACACATTTGACAAGTCCTTTATTAAAAAAGATATACAGTATTATGCTACCCCCAATTCCATTGTCAAGCATTATATCTAGCCAAACAAAAAAAATTACCTACAGAACAGAAAGAAAATTATTAACCACATATCCAATGCCGTTGTATTCCCGGAGGTAAATGAAAGCTCCCTGGGCTGGCAGTTGGAATGTAAATAAAGGGTTGGGAATACTGGCTGATGGCCATAACCATTTAGTCTATGATATCAGCCAGCATCCCTGTCCCCTTGTTTACATTAAGTTCTGGCTGGGAAAACTCCTGGCCCAGATTAATGGGTCATCACTGGTTGCTAAGATGCCAGCATCTCCTGGCTTTCTAGCAACCAGGAGTCCTGAATTGCTATACAGTGCCTGCAGGTACAGAGATCAGTGAGAGCTTGATTTAAATCTAGTATACTGCTCTTAAGAATATGTAAACTTTAGAATGCCCTTAGCCTGGTCAAATATTCACTTTGTCAAAAACTCTTGTTCTTTAGTTATGCCTATAATATTTAGACCATACTTTTCAAAATTTATACGTTTTTGCTCTCTGTAGAAAGCACATGCACTGTCAATTATATGATGCACAGGTGAAACAGGCAATCAGTACCATCTTTATTTTAGTCATGGGGCTCCCATGTACAGCTGGCACTTTGCGCTTTTATGCTTTAAGCTTTATTTTTGATAGAGTATTTGCAGATCGTTGCTTTAAACCAGACAACATCTAGGAAACATTTTTTGGTCAACAGCAGGGCTGATAGAAGACTCTGATACCATTTTGGTAAGTATAATACTGACATGGTTATGCCTAAATCATCCCCTGTTGCCAAGACTGCACTGACACCTTTCTAGGCAGTTTCTGTCTCCCATGATACTCTGATCTGGCTGTGCCTAGAAATGCAGCACCATAAAAGGCAGAATAAACCCCAATATTATACAAAAGGAAATTAATTCCCTTTTCGCCCCCAGTGTGTTTTGGATTATTGGGCTTTGTCCCTGGATAAGCTGCAATGTTAAATGGAAGGAAAATTCCAAATTAATGTTTATTGTCCTCTAAGCCATGAAGAAATGCTCAGATGAAAGTCCACTTTAATGCAGTCATCATCAGAAAATCAATTGCATCTTCTTCATGTTTCTGGTCTACTTCTGGATTTTTTCATCTGGTCTGCCTGTTCCACCTCTTAATATTTATTACCTTTAAAGTGTAAAACCAAAGCAGTTTAGATGTCCCTTCCCACTAGACCAAAATGTGCAGCTCACTGCTCACAGTTATCTCTTATGCCCACAGTTATGCCCATTTCTAGTTGTATGTTCATTGTAGGATGCCCACAAAAAGGCATATATTTCCAGGTAAAAGCATAAAACATGTATCTCCCTCTGTGCTATCCTGTAAACATTGGCCTGCTGCTAGTCAGTCTTCACAGCATGGCACTGTCTAGCTTTGTACCCCAGTCTAACAACAAAAGCATTTAATGTGTCTGAACTTACCTAAGCAAAGTTGCTGTAGAAATCCAATCTAGGCACCCCTACCTTACTTAAGCCAGTCCACAGCTGTCTCCTGAAGATCATAAGCCATGCCCTCCTATTGTCTGATTCAACTCGGCCATCACACTTTGAGTTGATTAGATTTTGGGAAGTAACAGTGCCCTTGTGCTACCTCTACTTACCAGCCTTTGTCTATAGATAGTGCCTCATTAGATTAGTTCTTGAGGAATGCACACTGCCTATTCAAATATTTAGCTTTGTTCATATCGGTCTGAACACACTTTGAAGCTGCAGCAGCTTGGACTTTTGATGCCCTATCTTGTAAAGCCACAGCCTTTGTAGGGGTATGCCTCAAACGTTTGGACACCACTGCAAGCTGCCCTTTCAATAACTTTATTTCCACCTCTGCTTTTCTCCTTATTACTAATTCTGTATGTAGAACATTAATAAAGTGCCAACCAAACATGGCTACTGCCCACATGTCTTTTATACTGAACCCTCTCTCTTTCATGTCACACCCTGAAACATGGTCTTAAAGGTAGTCTTAGCCCTTAATGTGCTTTTACTAAACAAGAATGCTAACTACAACAGAATGCATTCTAATGCCAGATCTAAAAATTAAAGGTTTGCAGTCTACCGGTACTAGATAACTAAGTTTACATACACAAAAAGACCTGTATCACAGATTCTTTGAACCCTTACATCAAAAATATATTTGAAATTTTCTATTTTAAATAAATTACTAAAAATCTGCCTTTCACCCCACACACAATAATGTATTGTACCTTTTTCTAAAAATGCATTCAAAAGCTCCTAGCCTTTCCCCCTACTCCATGGACCGCTATGTTCTAATGCAGGGGTGCCCACAATTTTTGTGTTTAAGATCTACTTTTCAAATGACGAGCTACCTGAGATCTACCAATGAAAAAAAAAAACCTCTCTCTCTCTCTCTCCTGGCTGTCTCTCCTTGTTCATTCTCCTGGCTGTCTTGCCTCTCTCTCCTGGCTGTTATTCCTCGATTTCTCTTCTGGCTGTCTCTTCGCTCTCTTAGTTGTCTCTCCTTGCTCTCT